AATTTTGTGTGCGATACGCTGTGCTACCTTTATTGAATTACCTATTTACCTGAGACATAACCGTGATGATAGCGTGAGAGAAATATTCACACAATATGCTTTTATTATATTAGACAGTTATATTTTCGGTTGTTACTTGCTTATGCTCGCAACTTCGTCCGTGTGGAATTAAAAAAATTGTAGCCTATAATCTAATTATCTTTTATGAAAGCTATCTTAATCTTACTAATGTTATAAATTGAAGTTTCGATTAACGTTTGTTAGTTTGCTGTCTAAATGGCTGAACGGTCTGGAAGAACACATGTAGTTCTTACTTTTGTTTTAAACCACGGGGAAGAAGTGAGCGAAAGCTAGTTCTCAATAAATAAGGACATTAAATTTTCGCATTCGATTGATCATAATGACTTTCATTTTACGATGAAAGATTTCAAATTTCATTTTCACAAACGACGTAATAGACTAGGAGTTACGAAATCATTTCTGACGTCTTCTTACACTTACATTTTTTTTCATAATAAAGGACGATAACATTGAACAAAGTCATTAAGAATGAGAAAATGAAAACATTTCTTTACTTTTTTTTAGAAGCGCCAATAGCCTAATGGTTTGGTGTACAGTCTACCGATATTGAGGTCTAGGGTTCGAATCCCGCCATTCGACTATCGTGACCATATCCTAGCACAAGCCTAGAGCTTAGTTGGAATGGTTAAAGGAAATATTAGTAAATTAACAGAAAACTACTAATACTTTTTCTTAAAGAAAAAACCTAACTAACTAAAATACACTAGAATTTAATAGAGATTTCTGTATTCGTATATTGAAATTTTATATATTGTTTTAATAAAAAAAAAACTATAAATTAGATCATCACAATAATAATTAATTTTAAAGTTTAAAGATAACATTTTTGGGTCTTATTTTGTTTGACAAGTTTTTCTATATTTAATCTGTTAGATGAATAGCCAAAAAACTAAAACTAAAACTAAAACTAAAACTAAAACTTTTCCAGGTGCTAACGTAACCCAAACTATTACGACAAAAAAGTTCGTAGTTATAAAAATTGTGTATTAAAAAGTACTATTTTGCCCTATTCATTGTAAACTATAAAGCTATATTAATTCTTTCATAAATTTCACTAACAATGGTAGTAATTAAACAATGTATTGAACATTTCAATCGTTGATTACATTTCAATAAAATTACCAATTGAAATACACGAATTTATTTACCGTATTTAAGTTACCGGTAACAAAGGCTGTATTTTGCTGAATATTGTGTTTAGTAAACAGTTATTATCTTTCCATTAGGGAGCGGGGATCCACTGTTCCACCAACTTGAACGTAATAGATGAATAAACGCCTACAACGAGTAGTCGACACTGGAAGCGACATTAAGCACTTCATTTATATCAAGCGTTTTCTGACTTTAATTAAAAAGAACGCTGCTACTGAAATTTGTGAAAAAGAATTATTTTACATTTAGTAACTAACTGTTGCTCTCGACTTCGTTCACGTGCAATTAAAAAATAAGAAATACAGCTTATGTCAATCAGCAATAACGTAGTTTTTTAACGGTGCAAAAATTTTTGAAATCGGCTCAGTAGTTTTGAGGTATTTCAATATATACAAAACAACAAATCTTTCATCATAATAACAAGTATTAAGTATAGATTAATGTTATCTTTCTAAATTTGTCACTAGAATCTGTGAATTATAAATTATTTATTAGATCCAAGAGAGTAAATAAGCCCTGAATAGACGTCCGTTTTCACACAATGTCCGCTGACGAATGTTTCAATAGCCAACGTCCCTTGTACTTGAATTTCAAAAGTTACAGTGGCCCAGATATTTCTATATTTATAAGCATAAAGTTATTGAATTAGAATAAGCAAAAGGATTGTACTTAGATTTAAGCAAACGTGTTGGGTCTAGCTTTGGTAACCTTTATTGGTTTACTAATTTGAATAATTTGTTTAGTTTCATTCATAGTGTAATGATGACAGTTAACTTGAAATCTAGGTTTTATCAGTAAGATAAAATATTAACTTAAAAAAAATGCCTAAATTAATACGGTAAAAATGTTGCCGTATTCAATATCTTTATATCAATGACGGTCTGGTTCGGATCGTTGAAAATTATAAGTAAACGTATTGAACCGTATTTATTATATACATATTTATTATACCTATAAATTACTATGTGTAAAATAAAAGCTTTTACAATACAAATGAAACAGTTAAAATAATTTAAAGAAATAGAAAATATTCGAGTAAAAGGTACAAGATGTACAAAAACTTATAATAAAGTTATTTTAAAATTTTTTAGACAATAAACACTTTCGCATATGATAAGAGTTAAAACTCACGTAAGTGTTTATTTTCACTAGCTAACATCCCAAAGACATTGTGGAATTTCATTTTTAGCACATTTCTACCACGATGATCAATTATTTCTATAGAAACATTCTACATATAGCAAGGTACAGACCGGGCGTGCGCTAAAGACTGGAAAAAATAGCAAATTAGTTAAATGGCTTTCGAAACATGTAATGCCTGCTCTCGTCTAGTCGTTATTTCAAGCGTCGCCGCCAGCTGGCGAGATGCGAAGCGAAAAAACAAATGAACAAATAATAGGGGAACAATTTTTGCGGAAAAAAGGCACGCGTGTGCTCCCCGACGTCTAATTTGTCACAGACTAGTAAATTTATTTTGTTACCTTATCGTAAAAAAATCAAGGAAATAATACACATTTATATCTCCTTATAATAAAGCTAAAATTTATCTAGTTATATTTAACAGAGTGTCTATTGTATATTCTTCTGTAATTAATAAGAAAATTATTAAAACTAAAAAAAAAAACAATTTTTATGTCTGTAACGAGTTCTGATCTAATTTCAGACAGACCAAAAATTCATATAAGCAAGACGTTTATTTTTCTATATATCAAATCTATGGTCATTTTAAAGATATAATGTAACTATATTTAACATCACCTAATAAATAAACGTAGTACTAAACGAAATATTCCATATTAATTAACAAGTATTAACAAATAATAAATTCATATACAGTGTTTGTTTTTAATTAGAGCCGCGGCTGACTTAAATACTTAATTAAGCAAGTTAGCAATAGCGTTGTATTCCCTTTATACCATTTGGTCTTAGGTCCCCAGTGCAAAGCTCTGATTGAATCCTACAAAGCGACCAACCTTTGCCGCCATGTTTACTCAAGTAACAGTAACATTACAAGAATGTATGGAAGTGACTTAGGATGTCGTAACCGGTTGACATTTAATACTCTGATCAGTGCTGTGATAAAATAAAATAGGAAATCATATATGTAAATAGCTAACTTGTTTCAAAATTAACGTACGAATACATGTTATAAAAAAAAAACATTTTTTTACCAATAATGTATGGACATAACACAGGAGTATCGCTTATAGCTTCTTAGTCGAATGTTTTCCTAACTTTATTCATAATAAACAGCCGTTTATAAAAATGGATAATATGATTTATTTTTTTAGAGATAAGTTAATCAGAAAAATATACAAAGTAGTTAATAGTTTTTACATTAATGTTGCTTCTAGTTTCCACTTCTTCAATGTTTCGAGGAGACAGCAAACAGCTCGTAGCGCCCCGCAGCGGGTGACTTGATCAACATCGCCTTTGGCGGACTATCGGAGAATCTTCTCCGATTTCTTTTTTTTATTTCCGCTACGATAATACTGAGTCAAAAGTATTAAATTTATTCCAACGAGTGTAGGAAATTTAATCTACTTTTAAATTGAGGCAAGCGAGAAACTATGAGTTATTTAAAATAGTGCTATGAAATGTGTTCATCCAGTCCATATAAATCTTATTAGTTAAATAAGTAAATAAATTATTAAAAAAAAACAAACAAAAGTTTGGATATATGGATAAGTTAATAGAAAAATAGAGTTTTGTCTGAATATCGAATATATGATATAGGCTACTTAACAAGTTTTTCTTTCATTCCTCAGAAAGTCACGGGCAAAAGCTAGTAGTAAAACTAAACGCATAATACCTTTGACTAACAGAATGTCTTCAAGTCGATTTTGAGCAGGACATATGACGGAAGAAAGCCGAGATGCCGTCGTTTGCGGAAGATATATGATTATGTCGTACGTGTTACCGCAAACACGGAGACACAAGTTCCGACAGCGCTTATCTGATGTTACAATACGATAGGTAATAAGATTCTACATAACGAATATTTCAATACATCGCTGAGTCTGTATAAGGTGACGAACGACCAAATGGCAACCGGAATTCGCCATAATAATGAAGCGACCGCTGCCTACAGACGACCGCATTTGTAAATGCGTTGCCTATTAACCAATAGGAGAAAGGACGAACAGAAAGAGGACATTTCCTTAGATATTTTTTTTTATACGAGATAGGGGCAAAGCGGCTGGCACACAGAGGTGGTCAACGACGCCCATAGACATCATCAACACCAGAGGAACATATCTTCACGTTATTAAACTTAGGAGGTAAATAAATTGGATAAAACCCCAATGTGGGAAAGGGACCATAAACTACAAGCTGCCAACATCAAGGAAGTAATATTGCCATGGTTTATCATTAACATTTGCAATTGATAATTTGAAAAATGTAAACAATAAAATAAAATTTTCATAATTTCATGCGGATGAAGCCGCACGGGAACAGCACTATATTATAAATTCCGATACTTTACTAAAAACTAATCAGACGTTTATTGCTTCACATCACAATGAACTATATTATTTTAGTTAAAACTTAATGTAATTTAACGAAACAATAACATTTAACCGGAAATTCCTAAACATCATGTCCTAAGCACACAACACTTGTAGAACAAATAAAAGTTTATTCGTTAAAATTCAGACCCTTGAAATTAGGAAAGGATTTGAAAAAAAGTACTTTTGGTTAATCTTAGTTAAGCATACTTTTTAATAGAATGTCTTTCCAAAAACTATGGTTAACGTTGGACTTACCTAATATAAGGACGAATATTGGAGGCCACATTTCCAATGAACCTGTAACAAAATAAATAAAATTTAAACAATGCTGTTAATTCCAATGTCGCATATTTTATTAAACAACTAATTGATGTTGATTTTGAATCATTTATGAAACATATTTTTTACTATTATTTCTTCATTAACGGTATTATTTGAGTCGCCATTTTTTTAGATTGATAAATCTGTTATTATTATTAAGTTAACTTATTACTTAGTTAAGTTAATAAAAAGGTCTTTTTATTATTTATTTCACATTCTTTGAATTAAAAAACTAAATCCGAAAGAATAGTATCACACAAAGGTAATTCAATTTATATTTCGATATTTGAGTTCAAAGTTTGTCGCTACTTATTGAATAGGCTTCATTAGAAGCAATTGAAAGACCTTTTGCGTTATTGAATATATTATCATAAGGTTTGGAATCATTGGGTCAGGATTGAAAAAACCTTTTTATGATGTATTTTTAAGACCGCGGCCTTTTGTTGGACAATGGATACTTTGATTGTGTAAGTTTTTTGTTATTCTTTCATCCCGCCCCCAACTAGGCATTTTAATATAAAATATAGTTTTAACCCCTGACTCCGTTCGCGTAGAATTAAAATAAAAGTAGCCTATCTGTTCTTCCAGACTATACTCTACATTTATGTCAAATTTCATCGAAATCCGTTCAGCAGTTTAGGCTACAAACTCTAATATACATCCATCCATCTAAACTTTCACATTTATAATATGAGTATGAAGTATGAAGTACGATATATTCAGCAAACCTTAGTATATCAAATGTTAATTAAAAAATCATTGGATTTTACAAAAGAAGGGAATTTTAAAAAGTGTTTCATAAACTTACAAAAGTTCAAGCCATTATAAGCAAATGCAATAAAAAGTATGAAATGTAATTAAAACATTTTATTGCCAAAGAATTTTTAATGAATCTTTTGAACTTTAAAGAGAAAGCTACCGTAATCAAAAGTCAGAGTTTTATCCTAGTTGTAATATAAACGCTTTTATATTTATAAATTACTAGCTTTCGCCCGCGACACCGTCCCCGTGGAAATTAAAAAGACAAAGTTAAGCCAATGTGGTATTCCAGACTATTCTCTAAAACTGTGTCACATTTCATCGAAATACATTCAGCCGTTTAGGTTACAAACTCTAACAAACATCCATCCATCCATCTAAACTTTGTCATATATAATATACTAGCTTTCGCCCGCGACTTTGTCCGCGTGCTTATAAAAAAACCAAAATCCAGTAGCCTTTATGTTCTTACAGACTATCCTCTACATGTATGCTAAATTTCTTTGAGATCTGTCCAGCCGTCTAGGCTACAAACTAACAAACATCCATTTATCTAGACTTTCACATTTATAAAATTAGTAAGTAAGATAATTTACAATAAAACAAATAACTAATGATAATATAAGTATGCTTACTTTTTTTTTAAATAATATCAATTTTGTTGCTTGAAATTAATTTCTATAACGAACATACTGAAATTATCTAATATTAAATAATAATATATGCGGAGTTAGAGAATCATTTATTTGCGGACTCAGGTCTAATTTAACTGTCAGTTGGAAATCGTTGGCGGGATAAACGAGCTTACAAATTGTTCAGTACGTATTGAGAGAATTGTAGTGTCGTTAATACTATGGATTGATACTGATTTATTGTACACGTCTTACTTATAAATTATGCCCCAAAATACTTTTTATTTAAACTATCTTCAACCTTACCTAAACAATTTTTTTTGACCATATGGTAGAAAATAAAATGAACCTCTTAATTAAAATAAATTAATTAATGTTTTAACTCTGTAATTAACGGCGTAATGATTTTTTAATTTGATTTTATTTTAAATAATGTCTACAAGTGTAATTTTACATGTCAAAATTATTTATAGAGCAATTTTAAAAAAATATTTGTGTCGTATAACTTTTATCAAACAATTTTTTAAAATATCTTTTTTAGATGTTCACGTTAATTTTCTATTTATAATATTAATGATTGAAACTACCTCATGTAATACCAAAAGCATAGAGCTTTAAACTAAAAGTTTATCTAAAATGTAATTTATTTTCCTTACCAAGTTTCTTCAAGTATAAAAGTCCAAAAGTAAAAAAAAAATCAACCACAGTAACACAGTTCCATCAATCAAGTTCTAAGAAAAGTTTATTGCGACACCACTGTTTGGAAAACATGATAACTCGTATCAAAGTCGGTTGCGAGATCAAAGTGTCCGCGCCGCGCCGCTCGCCGCCAGCCGCATGCGGGAGTGAAGCTGGAAGGACCGCGAGAGACTGAGCCTCAGAGCTCAGCGCGCGCTCTCACCTATTTTATATAAACGCTTTATATACCGATTTATATATTTACCCGCACTCATACATATTTAACTTTTTTTCCCATTTCACATCGTTTATTCGCCGTATGTGAGAGTCGCGTGTGTGCGCCGGCCCGCCATTCCAAACGTGGAGCACGAAACGAACGCCCGGCTCTTCTATTTACGTGTTTTTAGAAAGGGTGAAGCTTTTATACCTTTCCTTTCTACTATTCGGTCTATGCTGAACGCAACGCTCTGAATGCCGGACCGTGAAATATTTCTTTTCGATTTATGAGTTCCATTTTTTCACTCGAATCGCGTATTTTTTCGTTTGGAAACTTTTATCAATTTCTGCACAGCAATGGTGTCTACTATGGTTTGAAATATGGAACACATTCTGATTATTTGTAATAGTTACGAGAAAGGGATATAACCCTTATAAGAACACGAGTATCTTAAGAGTTTTTTTACATCATTTGCACTGTTACAGTTTGTTTTCATTCTAGTACGAACAAACAATTAAATTTCCGCGCAGACCGTAGTGCTTATACTGTGAAGAGAGATTAAGATGTTAAACGTCCTGATGTTAGTTGTGGCGGAAAACTGTCCGATTTATTTATAAACTACATTTTATACAACAAGCATACGTTAGTGAAGTTTATTTTAACAGCAAGGATTTTTAAATTCTAAAATATTCTGTGATTTGCTTTTTAAATGGGTTGCGAAGAGTGCTATTTAATCCTATCTTTTTTTCGTATTGCTTTTGGTGGTTTTTGATTTAAAATTACTTTGTTTAGACGCTAAGGTGATGGTTCTTCAGCCTTTGTTTCTATTGTCTCCGATTACTCTTGGAAAAGAAAATTGAAAGTTTTGATAGAAAAATGTCGAGGCACATGTGTTTGTAGGTTTGTTAAAAAATGTGAGCAATCAATGCAGCCATTGTAGAAGCGATTACGTTTTAAAAAATGGCGCGTCGCAGTTTAAGCGTGCACCATTTGCAGCGAACGATGTGTGCCGAGTGGGATCGAGTGGAGCAGCTAAGAAAATCGAGTTGCCATCTATCATTATTTATAACACCCGCCTCAGCGAAGTGGAGCCCGCGCACCGACTGTCTGCTGAGAATCGATTATCGACAGTATATTTAACAGCTTCATAAATGATACTGACATCCCTTTGGTATAAACCATTAAGGATAACTCTCTTGGGTTATAAATGTGACTATGATTAATGCATTTATACGTACGTTTTATAACGAACAAAGGCACACATGATTCCGGTCAATGTTACGTGATATAGCATTTAATTTATTGCTTGTTTTACGTTATCTGTATCTATACTAATATAATAAAGCGTAAACACACACTATTTAATGGCGTAGGATGTAAGCAATCACAGCATATTTTGAATATTTCTTTCTTTATGCAATTTTGCAATGCAAATGTGCAAATATGCAATTTTGCTCGTTTTACTCATTTTTAGTACCTTTGTTAACTTAGTTTACGTTGTAATTATAGCTAGACATGTTGCGTCTAATGATGTACAACTAGTATTTTATTTAATTCGCTAAGCTGGGTCTCCGCGATACAGGCTGTGCCTAGTGCGAGAACCCTGGGTCAATTTTCTGTTACAATTTTTTGTCAAATAAATGAATTTATTATTTAATAAAAAGCCCTACTTTTACCACACTCTTAAGGCATTATATGTTCACGCTATTAAACTTAGGGGGTAAATAATTTGGAAAATCCTTACGTGGAAAAAAGACCACTTCAAGCTGACATCAAGGAAGGTTGCCATGGTAACGGCAATTGTCATGCAATGTCAAAGGCCTTCGCTGTTATTTGTACACTTGAATTTTGACATTTGCAATTGAAGATTTCACAAATGCAAACATTATTAAAGTTTTTATAATTCCATGCGGATGAAGTCGCACGGGAACAGATAGTTTATGATGAAAAGTATAAAATGACTCTTAGCATCAAATGCCAAACTCATGTAGATATGATACGTAGGTTTATACGGTCAAAGTGAGAGTAATAAAAACTTATAAGAAAAACTTTAAGAGCCAAAGACAATATCAACGTATTACGAAGAATACTCTCAGGGAAGTGTCTTTCAAAAGTCCATTAGCTAAAAGGTAAGAAGGGAAAACTTCCTGATGGGCCGGAAAATTGAGATCAATTTTTATCATTTTCTTTTGATCCCGAGGCATATGTATAAATAACCTTTTACGCTTTTGATGAGAATTCTTTTTATAGTATTTTTTAAAATAGAATTCCAAACGAAGAACAGAAATAAGTGAAAACCGACAATAAAAGATTTGTTTAGAAGAAAATATATTGTAAAATAAATAGACAACTTACTATGACAGGATGTCTGCTTATGTCCTCAAGAGGAGGCAGCGGTGGAAGATAAACCTATGAAATAAAAAAAAATGTTAGAAATACATAAATACTTTACTTGTAATTAAAATGTGATCATAATCAAAACTGTCCTTCATTCCCAAACTTATCCTAGATCATTGTATGGCGTCGCCTATGCCTCTACTTATAATGTTAATATGTTATATTCACTTAATAAGTATTCTAAGTTGTACTTTATTTACAAAACTTGTACAGTCATCGTTTATTATTCACAACGTACTACGTCAAATTATTCAACGGTTTGACGCCGTGTT